GGTTTTACTATTTTTATTTTAGAGATACTGTATAATCCCATAGAAATCTATGGAAAGCTACTGCACAGGAGCAGGCAGCATAGTGAAGATTTTCCCATAAATGTGTAAAACAGTATTAAACCCAAAACCAAAAATGTATTATATTGCAGCATACTAATTCTCAGATGGTGGCTGCATTCTTTTTTTTTTTCCTTGGCTTTTTCCCCATTGTTTTTACTTGGTGAACTGGCCAGTAACACATCTCCATTTTTAGTGCCTACACTCTGGATGAAGGAGCACAGAGACACATTTGGACAGCGCATTGTCATTCTGGGGGAAGGGGAGTGTTAGATGCATTAGCAGATTTAGATACACTAACAAATTGAGGCTAAACTCCAGGTAACACTTTTTAAGCAGTTTTTTTGCTTTTGGTTTCAAAGTTTTAGGTGCATAAAAATGGAGGAGTTTAAGCACCTTAAACTCTGTTAGTGTTCTACATTGCTTTGGGACGTCCCATGGTGCATGTCCTGTAATATACGATTAAGATAACAGGGATTTTGACTTACCTGTAAATTCAATATCTTGGAGTGCAATACAGGATACCCCTTCCAAAACTCTCCTTGTTACTCTGCATTGCTTTCTACAAATCTGAGGACTCGTGGAGTGGGTTAGTGTTATAGGGGAGGTCTCAAAAGCTTGCCAGTGCCCAATCACGTGAGGGTACAAGCTTGTAACCCATGGTGTATGAAAAAGTTGCCTGTGAGCTGTGCTGTACTCCAGGATATGTAATTCATAGTATGTATAGACTGTGGGTTCTAGTGTCATTAGTGTCATACCTTCAGGTGACTGGACATAGCCCAGTTTTACAGGACACTTCTCCTGGGTGCCTCCTCTATAACCCTATCCACACTTTATGGATCCTCAGTTTTTTGCTAGTGTCTCCAGGTGATGGACCTCTTCTCCTTCAGGGAGAAATCAATTAACTTAACCATTTCTATGGGGCTATAGGCAGCAGTCTAATTTATCAAACATGCAAAGAATAAAAACAACCAACACACCAAATGGATTAAAATAGGCCACGGCTTGGTTTATTGGGTTAAATCATCTTAACAATATAAACTTTAACAACACCATAACTTTATTTATCAAAATACTCAGAATTTATTAACAACTCAGCCCAGCAACTAAGACTCGAGCTGACCAAGCATTTGGAATAACCATCTTCGTACATATCCTCTTTGATATATAAACCAAAAGGGGGGGGGGGGGGTTAAATTAATCTTATAGCCTTTCAGGGCTTGTCTAACAGAAAAGCAGCTCAAGCAAGTAGGAAGATGATAAAGGCATAAGAAAAAAGAAACTGCTGATAATAGTTTTCTAATGTGTGACCAGGAATAATGTTGTTTCATAAAGAGTGGAAAAGTTCCAAGTAGAATGTGCCACAGAATGCAAAATATTTTCAAAAATTAAATCAGTTCCCATAAATGTAGCAGGCAAGCAACACCGTATAGATCTGCTTCTGGCATCTTTTAGAAAACTGGTCCGTTTGCAGTCCTGAAAGAGCATCTTCTACAATGTTAAGCTTACCTGGGAAACACCTAGCCTTTATCCAAATATTGCAGTGCAGTGCAGACAGAGAAAGGCCATACAATGTAAGAAAGAAACAACCTGGGGGGACAACTGATTGCAAACATTACCCCTTTATTATCAGTAATCAGAGTCTCCTGTGGGAAAATTGACTTCCCCTAATTTCCAGTGTGACAAATATTGTAAATAACAATGTTTCTACAAAAAACCATTAGAAATTCATCTGGAAGGCCATTCAGATGCACAATAATAGTTTCTCCATACAGCCCCAAAACTGATATAGCCAACTGCGTCAGTGGATAAGCAGAAGTGTATCTGTAACAAATTCCTGCTGCCACAAAGTCTTTCCGTTAAAATGCTCCAAAGATGTTATCCAGATCCAACAAATCTTTCTTAATATTTGATGTCAGTCTAATATGTGATGTTGGGTTTTTCATACCTGAAATAGCAACATAGAGCCTCCGAGAGCAAATCCTACCCATTGGTATAACGTTTCGAATAAAAGTCAACAGTAACTGATGAAGTCTATATAATTTATCTTCTGGTAAATGAAATTCCATAGCTACCGTATCCAAAGTGATGCCTAAGAAGACAATACATGTAGTCGGAAAAACTGTCTTTTCATCAGCTAATGGAATATCAGTATAATTACATACTGAAAAAAATGTTTGCAAAAGATAAAAAAGACAATTATTTGTATTTTTTATGCTTCTATGAACAAGAAATCATCTAGATAATGCATAGAAAAATGTAAATCAACTACCTTATTTACTACCCATTATAAGAAAGATGAAAACATTTTGAAATGAAACCAAAATACAGAACAACCCATTGGCAAATATTTGTCAAAATAAAACTTGTTTTCAAAACATTTCTAAAGAATTAAAACATTTGGATTGAGAGGAAGTAGCCTAAAAGCTGATTTTATATCCGCCTTTGACATTATTATTGCATGTTGGCATTAAAGGCAAAGTTTTGTACCAAATGAGTCATAGGAAGCATATGAGAGGATAATTCTGGGTTTATCTGGTCAGTTAATGCAGGCCTTGAAGTTTACACTTGCCTCCTCGCATTGGCGAGTGGAAATAAGGTGGGGGCGAGTGTGTCCCCCTGGGCCGTCTTGCTGAGCAGGCTCAGAACTCAGGGCTGGCTCCATCACTCGCACTGGGAGCTGTCAGACTGCTCAATAGCTAAGCAAAGTGAAAGCAAAGGAAGGAGAGTGTGCTGTGCTCTCTGCCTCCCTCTAGAGTGCAGTACCCAGCTCTGTGAGTGAAGGTAATGAAGTACTGTACTGCAACTTATAGGGCTGTGTGTGTATCTGTGTGCGCGTGTGTATCTGGGTGTGTATATGTACATGTGTCTGTGTGTGTGCGTGTGTATCTGTGTGTGTGTATGTAAATGTGTTTGTGTGTGTGTATGTACATGTGTCTGTGTGCGTATACGTTTGTGTGTATGTACATGTGTGTACCTGTGTTTCTGTGCATGTGTGTACATGTTTCTGTGTGTGAGTGTGTGTGTGAGTGTGTACATGTGTCTGTATGTGTGTGTGTTTAAGCATACATGTATGGGTGGTTTGGTCAGGTTCAGGATGATGTGGTTATTATGGGTGGTAGAGCATGGCGCATTTGAAGTATTGCTGGGTTGGACAGAAGGTAGGATATGCTTGGTAGAGTTATGGTTTGGTGAGTGAGAGATTATGGCTGTATGCGGTGCATGGTCTAAATATGATGTAGTGCTAGGGGGACATTGGAGGCCCTGATGTAATATAGGGGGACATTGGGGACACTGATATAATGTGGGGGAATCTGGGGACCCTGATTTAATGTGGGGGGACTCTGGGGACCCTGATGTAGTGTGGGTAACATTTAACAGTGTCATTTCATTAGATAATTTACATGGGCATGTTTAGGGGCAGAATTAGGGGCGATCCAGGGTAGGGGTTGGGTGGGGCAACTGGTGGCGTGCAACTGTTAAGGTCAGGCTAGTAGCTCAGGACTTGAAATTTTGAGCCCTGATTGAGCTACCAAAATGGAAGGACAAGTAGTGAATAAGCCAGAATGTATTAGTCTCCTTTTTAGGGGCTACACCTAAAGGAGATATCCGAAAATTTGAGATGGGGGGTTTATCAAAAGGGCCTTCCATTCTTCCTGGTGACACTTCCTTATATAATTTGTTCCGCAGAGTATGAGGAAATCCCCTTACTGATTTCAAATTGCTAACAATAGAACATCCACTACCCTCAAAAGATGGGAGTTTAAGGGTGCATGTACACTGCAGCTGCTAAACTGACATTCAGGAGCTGTTGAGCGTTTTTTTCAGCAGCTTCTGAACTCTGTATTCCTATGTGTCCATGTACACATAGTCCCTTACAGTAGTTTAAAAGCAGTTGAGTTTACAGTCGTTCTCTTGAATGCAACAAAATCGCATTTAGGAGTAGATTTTACCGGCGCTTCAAACGCTTGTAAACATGGTTAACCACATTTATGCGCCTTTGTGTTTAGACAGGTTTTTGGGCTGGTCCATATCCAGGGCACACTTCACTAAGCGGTATCCGAGTATGCAGTAGAATACCGTATAGCATTTTTTAAAAAAGCCATTTGAATCCACTAAAAAAGGCTACTAAAATACCACATGAGTTATTTTATCAAGTCATGCAGTATTTTAGTAGTAAAAAGCATGCATTAATGTTTCAGCTGTCAGCGGGGTTCTCACTGACAGCTGAATGTAAAAGAAAGAATTGCCGGCAATTAAAAAATAATTAAACGGCGTGGGGTCCCCCCTCCCATTCATACCAAGCCCTTCGGGTCTGGTATGGATTTTGAGGGAAACCCCACACCAAAATGTGAAAAAAAATGGCGTGAGGGCCACCCCAAAATCCATACTAGAGCCTTATCCGAGCATGCAGCCCAGCAGGTCAGGAAAGCATCTTTTCCCCATGTTGATGGGGACCAGGGCCTCTTTCCCACAACCCTGGGCTGTGGTTGTGGGGGTCTGCAGGCGGTGGGGGGGCCTATTGGAATCTGTAGTAGCCTTTTTTAGTGAATGTACTATTTTTCAGTGTATTCTGGGCATTTGGGAGGGTATCCTGAGGTTATCTTTTAACTACTTGCCAACCACAGATAGGCGAATGACGGCTACACTGTGGCCGTTCAGTTCTGGGAGGGCGTCATATAACGTCTTCCCAGAACGCGCTCCTGTGCGCCCCCGACGATCTCCGTGATCTCTGTGTCCTACGAACACAGCTGATCACGTGATGTGGTAAAAGGCCAATCACAGCGGCCTTTTACCACGTGATCAGCCGTGTCCAATGACACGCTGATCACCGGGGAAATGCAATTGCTGGTTCTCGGCTGCACTTTCCTCACGCTGTCAGAGCATGAGGAAAGTGCTGCCGAGAACCGGCAGTTGTCAGAGCAGGGATCGGAACCGATTATCAGTGCCACCCACCAGTGCCACCCAGAAGTGCCACCTACCTGTGCCCACCAGTGCCACCCACCTGTGCCCACCAGTGCCACCCACCAGTGCCTATCAATGCAGTGCTGCCAGTCAGTGCCAATAGTCAGTGCCCAGCGGTTGCGCCAGTCAGTGCCCAGCAGTGCCGCCAGTCAGTGCCACCTATCAGTGCTGTCTATCAGTACCCATCATCAGTGCCACCTATCAGTGCCGCCTATCCGTGACACCTCGTTAGTGCTGCCTATCAGTGCCGCCTATCCGTGCCACCTCATTAGTGCTGCCTGTCAGTGCCAATCAGTGCTGCCTATCAGTGCCCATCAGTGCTGCCCATCAGTGCTGCCTCATCAACGCACATCAGTGATGGAGAAAAATTACCTGTTTGAAAAATTGTATAATAGAAACAAAGAAAAAAAATTTTTTTTTTCAAAATGTTTGCAATTTTTTTGTTTATAGCTTTAAAAGTAAAGCAACCAGCGGCGATTAAATACCACAAAAAGAAAGCTCTATTTGTGAGAAAACAAATGATAAAAATTTCATATGGGTACAATCTTGCATAACCGCGCAATTGTCAATCAAAGTGTGACAGCGCTGAAAGCTGAAAATTGGCCTGGTAAAGAAGGGGTATAAGTGCCCGGTAGGCAAGTGGTTAAAAACGCTTCTAAATGCAAACTCTTCTATACGTGCATAAACGCTGTAGGTAAATGCAACTAAACTGACGTTTTTAACCTACGTTTTATAGCAGTCAGTTTCCAGCGGTCAGAAGAGTTTTTTCAAATGCCCTGTATACATGAGCCCTAAAACCCTCAAAGAAATCCTCAATTAGCAGCAAAGCCATCTGCTGATGTAGGTAGGCCAGCAGCCACGGGAGCATTCTTGTTATGTTCACCGGGGTTACTGCCTTTTTGAAAGTGTCCTAGGAGGCTGCTTGGAGTTTACAAAAGCACTTATCAATAGGATAAACTCCAGAGCAGAAAGCACTTTCATGACAATATTTACAAGCATGTTCCCTTTTTGAAGGTATTCCCCAAAGGATTAACACTACTTGGCTGACGAACAACAGTTTGTGTCTCTAAGGCATAAATAAATTCAGCCATAAACTAACATCTTTGAACCCCACTGAAGGTTGGACCGCTAATTTTTTTTGTAATGCCTTGTCATAAGCAAGCCAAGCAAAGCCACTGAAACTCCTATACACCTCTAAAATTATATCAGTGTGTTGAAATAAGGCTGAACTCTTTATAAGAGATTTTTCACAAAAAGCTTGCAAGCAACTATAAAAAGACTTTATCACTGATCTGTGTCTGTCTTCCTCTGATTTGTCCTTTTTTTTTTTTTTTTTGTCAGATCAGTGAAAAAATAAAGTCATTAAATCTATATACAGTACTCCCGTTTTCAAATCTTCTCTTTGATGGTTTCTGTTGCTGACAAATGAAAACCCAGAGGAGACAAAATGCAAGGCATACATTCCTTAGAACACACTTCTGACAAGCTAGTAGGTTTAACAATAGAAGGATTTAAAACCTGTGAAGCTGCAGCAGGACTCTGGTCAGACATGATTCAAGACATGTGACCCAAACTCCCACCACCACATCACCAGGCAAATAAGGAGAAATAGACAGATAAGCAGAGTGCGAGCGGACGGAGGAGGTAAGTTGTTCCAAAGAGGAAGATAAAGCAGACAATCTCAGTAAAGGGTCAGACTCGCCAATATGTGTGGAGCTGCTGAAGTCCAAAAGGAGCAGGTTAAGGCGATTTACACCATACAGGTATGCTGCTGCCGTCCTTGGTGGTTACCGAACCTCTCCTCTGGAAGTCCATGCTGTTCCTTCTTGCGCTGAAGGGACCTAGCCTGCTTTCCAGGCATACTTTGTTGCCATGGAGACGATTGGCCTCTTGGTGATGTCATTCGGAAGCTCTGCCAACCTCTTCCCACCTCCAACGCTTCTGAGCATGTGAGCCTCCTCCTCTTGGTAGAGGCCGGCCATGCTCTGTCAGTGAGTAGAGCTGTAGGCACAGTGGGGCTGTAGCTCCTTCTTTGCTGGCGCCTTCTCTTACCAATCTGCCGAGACTCCCTCTCTTCACCCCAATGACATCTTTTTTGTCCTCCAACTTACGGAATTTTTCTACTGGACCTTACTCCTCTTCATTCCAGGAGAAGAGACGCTGTATTTCTCTGTTGACACTGATCACTTATGTCATCACTGCCGCTCTGCTGTGTTCTCCGTTGGCCTCGGGGGGGACCTTGGCTCACAGGTAATCCAGTCTTCTCCCACCGCTTCAGCCCACACCAACAGCTGCTGAACAAGGGTTTGCATGTTGCCAGAGAGTTCTTCCCGTAGCTGGCAGTATTATAGCTCCTTTGCCTTGAGCTCCTTGCGATGATTTCTCTCTGGCGAATGGCACAAAACCCTTGTGACAGCCTCTTTAAACAAGGATCCCTGAGCCTTGTAGAATTTTTTTTTGGGGGGGGGGGCTCATATGACCCTATTTTACCTATCCCTTATCTACCCCTCCCTTACTATTCCGGGAGGTTCTTAATCATGTGTCCCTAATTTATCACATTAAGCCCCATTGAAATCAATTAAAATGGGGCTTATTCTGCTGCCACTATGGTCCATTAAGGTAAAATGGGGCATAAAAAGGCTACCCCTTTTTTTCTAACATTCTCTTTATTAGTTTCTAGTTGATTTTTTTTTTTTAAGAACTCCTCTTTCTTTCTTATACCACCAATAAGGGCCCAGCTGTGTAAGGCCACCATCTTGTCCTCTGTTTACTGATACCTGTCAGATCAATGCCCAATCTACAGCTCTTGGCCGCAAAGTTATTGCAGCGATATCTTGAAGTTAAGTCATTTGACCCTTGTTGTTGTTGGGCCTGTTGACACAGTTCTGTTTGTGTAGTTGTTGCCCTATCTTCTCATTCATTATTTGAGGATGTCCCAGGGTCTATAAATACTCAGCCTGTCCTGTACTATTCGATTATGATGAGGGATTTAGACTTACCTGTAAATTCCATATCTTGGAGTACTGAACACCCTTCCTTCAACTCCTCGGTTACTCTGCATTGCTTGCTACAGTTGTAGAGAAGGCTTTACCAGTGTCCAGTCACCTGAAAGTTTCAGTGTAAAACCCAGGGTCTATGAATTCAACCTGTGTCCTGTTCTTTGCTCCAAGGTATAGAAATGATAGGTTGGTCAAAATTCCTCTTTTTTTCTTTTTTGGGCATTTTGGAAGAATTAGAATCTCCATCAGCTCTTACTGCTCTATATCACGCTAGCAAGGCGATTTTCTCCTCAGTTCCAGTGGCAACATTGCACGACTGGAAGCGAGGATAAAACTCCAAAAGGGACATGAACAGCAAAACACCACCATGGCTAGTACAGCAGGTGAAATCTAGAGCCCCTATTATTTTTTTTTTTTGTATGCTCTGTCTGTCCCCATTGGACATTTCCACTCTGTTCTTGTCTGCTTTTTAACATTTTTAAATGAATAGGGCTATCTCCCCAACGAGGCTTCATAAAGCTTTAAAATCTTATCAGAGGTTGTAACTCTTCCATGCACTTTCCAAAACCAAATATTGTTTTCTTGAAATTGCATTCTAAATTATGGAGCAAAAATTTACAGTATATGTAAACCCTGGCCTTGTAAAACAACCCAAACAGTTTTAAAATAGAAATGAAAGGTAAAACATTTGTGTATATGTATATAAAAAAAAAAAACCAAAAAAAAGAAACCTTTGCTTCCCCTTTTCTGATAAGTGATCACATACCCTGTTTTATATATAAATATATATATATATATATATATATATATATCTGTTCTCAGCTGCATAAATATGTGAGGGTGGAGAAACAGCAGCACATTGGTCTTCCCAGTGAATGGCTGTACAGAGGGGGGCATGTCATCAGATGTGTGATCATTGGAGGAGAGTAGACTGAGTTCCCAGCACAGCTAGAGAACTAACCATGCTTTGCTGTCAGTTTTTGATAGGAAAGCAGAGTTACTGGCAGGAACACCAGGTATTTCACACAAAGGAAGCAATATAAAGAGAACAGGATACTTCAAATACATGGTACAGCAGGCACATATCAGATATATGAAAAGTTGGGTTACATATTCTTTAATTCTTCATAACTAAACCTGAGAGATCCTAGTAATGACCGAAACATTAATATCTAATTTTGTAAGTAATATGTAACTGATTAATTGTATTAAATTATTTTCTGCAAATTTGTGGTAAAAAAGTGTTTTCGAATGGGCTGGCCTATATAGGTGTTTCTGCTTTTTTTTCATGTCATAGCTTCTAAAAATATCTTTAGGGCCCACTTCAAGTATTCTTTTAAGAAACCAGGACCTACCTCTTTGTCTTGATGGCTTGTCAAATGAGAAGTGTGGGTAATAACTTTTGGTTGGCTTACTTTCAGGAACGGATGCCCGAATAATATCAGAGTTTGGAGAGGACATCCAAGAACTGGTGGCTCTTTCAGAATCTGTGTTCCTGGAAGCAGTAAAAAATGTCATGGATGGCAAGGTGCTCTTCAAACATATAGAGAGTATTCTAAAGCACAAGGAGCAGTTTGTAGCCATCTGTAAACTGAGTAAGTCCATTAATACTAGACAAAATTATGTACACATCACTTGACTAGCAAACAGTAGAATGTTTTATAAAAAATCTGTATTGGCTGCTTTTCTTTTGAAGAAATTGAAAAAAAAGAGAAACTCTTCCTGAGTGAAATAAATCAAGTGTTGCAATGGAGGAAAGCTGAATTAGACACACTACAAAGAGAGCGTGAATGGGTGAACAGTCTTCTTAAAATGATCCAAAAAGTTGAACATCACATAAAAGGTATTCAGTTATAATCATTTTATTTTTATTGCAGTTAAAGAGATATTACATCCAAACCAGATTTTGATTTTATTTGATTGAGAAAGGGTTTGGTCGGTGCTTGGTTTGCACTTTAACCTGGAACTTTGGCCAGTAAATTTCCTACCACTTCAGCTATGTCCAGGGTAGACTAAAAGCCAGGCTATTTGTAGTAGGTATGTTGCCATGGGAAACCCAGTAGATGATGCACAATATAGTATTTTAGTGCTTTGGTTGATCCGATGGCTTCTTTCTAGAAATATGCAAAATTGTATATGCCAGTAATACCTTTGTTTTCACCAGTGCTCGCAGCCTGTTACGAATATTTCAGTGGTGGTGAAAATCATCTTTTCTACCTCAAATAGCATAATTGTTCTACCAATTATCTAAACATGAAAAATCCCCAAGTTTAGATTGAAGGGGTGAATATAGTTGATAAGGTAGCCTTTTCCTATAGTGACCCCTCCTTGGATAATGTCCTGGAAAATAAAAGCTGATATATCAGTGTAATAATCGCC